AAACTTTACCACAAACGACTGGTTAACGTTTTCCTGTAACGCCATTTCCGTCGTTGTTACATGAGGGTTGTCTTCCAATGATAACAAGATATTCAACTTGGTGTTATCATTTATTTGTGGTCTTCCACATCTTGGAACATCTCGCACGTTTCCTGTTTGATTAAATTTTGTAACAATGTGCTTGTAGTGAGTGTAAGTCGTTCAAAATGTAGTTTTTTGAACAAAGCGCACACTTCTTCATGCTTCGACGCCTATCGCCATAACCTACCATCCTTAGGATTTCTACACGTTCTTTTTCGGTTAAACGAGCCATTATTATGCGACTTTTAGACAAAAGTATAGATGAACAAAATCATATTTGTTTATAAGTCACAAACTACCGGATTACATACAGTCAAAAAGTATTCTGTATTTTATTAAACCAACTTAAGAAACTGACAAAAGCGATTCCCTTTGACAGAATTTTGTTTGAATTTTTAATTATTTGGATTTCAGTTTGTTTCATGTTCATATCATGTTTATTTCGTTTGTTCAAACAATCCAATCAAAATTGCGTCTCATTTAAAAAAAATCACTGATGACGTCATAACTTTTACAAATTCGACGTAATTTTTTTTGATATTCATATGTCAGAAGATGAAGAGTCAAATGAAAGGCTTGACATGTTTTTTCTTTTTTTTTCAAAAACAAATACTACGCGTTTTATGAATTTTGTGCATTACTGTATCATAACCCTGCATAACTTTCTATATTCGTGACATAAAAATGTATAGGGCTACGAATTTTATATTTTAATAATGTATCACACTTTAAAATAGAAAATAAAATGTGAAAAAACGAAAATCTATTTTCAGCCAAAGCTAAACTCATTGTGCTTTTAAAAAAGTGACCATTCGTCGGATCGACTCGATTACTTAGCTTGTGCTAAGGAAGTAAAAATGGCAAGATTGTGGAGAATTTTATTTTAATTTGCCACATATTTTAATTGTCTCCAAAAATTGTAACTTTATTAGCTATTGTAAAAAAAGTACATTAATTTTGCTGAATTTGACAACCCAAAATATTAGCTGGGGCATTAAGCATACGGTTTATCTCTCGCCCACAGCGAGAAATCTTTTAATAGCTCATTCCTTTGAAAACTTTTATAATATCAATAAGGAGAAAGAGTAAATGCAAGCAAAATACTTACACGGTGCCGAAAGTATGATAAAATTTCTGCGTAGTAGATTTGTTTTAACGAAATTAGTAGAGATGTGCCGACTACAGTCGGCCGACTGTTTATAAATGCAACAGACAGTGGTTTTTTTTTTCTATTTCTCTGACTACCTTAAAAACTTGTTTTATTTTAATAAAAGGAATAACTGAAGTTTCTTTTTTTTCCAAAAAATGTGTTAAATTTTTTTGGATAATTTTAACATTTAATTTTTTGTAGTAACTCAGTACAAAAATAAAGAATAACACAATTTAGGGCAGTTTATACAATACTTAACCAATTTTAACCACTTTTTTGGAAAATTTTTGGAAATTTTGAATTCGCTCTGCGTGTTTATTGGACCATATATCGTGACGGCGATTTCAGAATCGTAACTAGCGGAAGATTATCTACACTTTGACACCAATTTTCGGTCGATTAAACTAATTTTAACCGGTTTTGACAAAGCCGACTAGTCGGCCGACTGCAGTCGGTACATCTCTAGAAATTAGCCAAAAATTTCAAAATGAAGCACCCAATAATAAAATAAAATAATCTGAAAATAGCAAACCAGAGAATTTAACTGATCAAACTTAATTGTCAACAAAAAACTTAAAGTTATCTCCATAAATCTTTTTTCAATATTTTTTTAATTTGTTCATTTCGACTTCACCGCGAGTCAATAATTTCAAGAAATTTTTCCAATTCTTTTGCCACATGTTTATTTCAGAAGTTATATCTTTCAATCAAACAATATTCTAAATCTTCGTCAGTGAATATTATAAAATAACACTAAGTATTTTCTTTAATAATGACCGTCTCCCGTGACCATGGTGCTAGCTATGGACTGCCGAAATTACCCGAGCCCTTAGAGAAAGCTAAATTTTAATAAATGCAGGTTTGTGTTTGCAGTTGTAAACCAACTTGCCTTTCTCAAACCGCTCGGGTACTTTCGGCAGTCCATTGCTAGGACCGGGAGACGGTCATTATTAATGGCCCCGACTGTACATAATCGTGGTAAGTTTCGAACTAATTTTATAATATTATAATAAAAAGTTCCTTAAACTTACTAAAGCCCTTGAAGATAATTGAGGCTTCCATTGAGGTAGATGTTTTTAAAAAAGTTGTGTGAGCGTTTGCACCAAATTGGAAAATTGGACAATGCAATAAGCGATGCAGTGTAAGTTGTTGTGAAGTAATTAATGAAACCTGCCAAAATGACAACAAAAGCTTGAAATAAGCTAAAATCATTGCATAAAATGCCAGGAAGACACAAATTTTAGTGTACCAACTTATTTGCAGTTATTTGCTGTTGTAAAAGAAATGAGATTAGTTCACCGCCTTCGCCAGGCTATGTATTGAGAAAACTACATGTGGTATATTGCAAGTTGCATACTTGTTGAAATAGCAATTTCTTTGAACGTCCAACGAAAAGCTACCCACATACCATTCGACACATAGACCCCGATTCTTCTTATGGAAGTAAGTGGCGAGTTCCTACCTTTTTCACTTGCGAGGTGTGCATTACATGTTCAGAATGTAATATTCTATTATTAACAGAGCTATTGCTACGAAATTTTAAATACAAATTCTCATAATTTTTTTTAAGTTTTGGTGAAATTTTTCATCACGTATTTTTAAAATTATAATCTCAATTATTTATGAAAATTTCGGAACCCGGTTTTCATTGCTGTTTTCAGCTTAGAAAGCGCTAAATGTTACGTGGAAGACATTGTCGATTTCTTGTACCGTTCAACCGATCGCTATGAAAATTGTTTAACTAGGTATTTGAGCATAGAGAATATTTTCACGCTATCCATTTTGCTGTAACTCGGGATTATAAAAAAAAATACGTTGTTGGTATAACATCTTCCAGCACATTCAAAAATGTTGCCAGTTTTATTTACATATATTATTATATACATAATGTTAAAAATTCAATAAATGCGACATATTTGTTTAACGAATGACAAACAAATGTCAAAACAATTTAGGTAGGTGCATAGAGCATTAAAACATATTTATAATCGGGGATCATTCAACCAGCTTGCTTTTAAAAATTTTGAATCAGGTTCTGACAGGACCAAAGAGAAAACGTGACAAGATCAAATTTATATCAAAATATGTTCCCTTAACAATGAACACTGAAGGAATTTTCTCAAAACAAATAAAAAAATGATTGAAATATTCATGAAAGTTAACGAATAAACACACATATCTTAATTTTTACAAAAATGTTAGGGTGCTTTTGACAAAAAGATATAAATTTTCATTAAATCCTGCATAGATAATTCGCATTTTAGCTGTTTCTGTCTACTTCTGTATAAAAGATCTACTTCTGTATAAAAGATTAAGTTCAAACCGAGGATGAATACTACTTATGGAATATGGTAAATAGGAATAGTTAAAAAAACTAACACTCGAACTGTACTTAGTTTTCTCACATGTGCTTTTTAATAGTAACGTCATTAGTTTTCGAGCCATGGGGTCATGCGCACTTTTTTAAGCGGATTGATGGTTTTTTCGATACTTACGCTTTTAATTTAAAATAATAAATAGGATTTAGTTTAATTGTCTTTTAACATAGGAATATCCAAAATTAGAATTAAATTATAAACATTATATTTTTAATAGTTGTGTTGAAAAAATGATGTAAATATTACATAAATATCGGGTGTACAATTAAAAAGTCATCAGGTGGGTCTTGGTTTTTAATAAACATTGTGAAATATGTCGACAATTAACGTAAAATTTCGTAAAATAATCGATGACAATTGACAACGCGGAAATGTCAATTATATACAACATTATGGACTAGTAAAATATGCGTTTTCATTATGTTTTCTTCTATCAAGAAAGCAACGCAAACTTGATAACTTTTTCAATTAAACACCCGATATATAATAAAATATAGAACAGCCGTTAAAAAAAAGTAAAAATGTTGCATCTCAAAAGTTCATGATGTTGCATTTTTGTTAAATATTGTTGGCTGTTCAATGAGTGTACTTAAGTTGTTCACAAGCCGTTTCCTTACTGCACATTAATAAGTAACATTAAAAAGTAATTCTGTAAATACCTCGTGATCAAAGACTTCAAATATATATAGACTGGCTGTCACCCTAAATTCTATTGTATTTCGTGAAGCAGTTCTGTCAACAGAAATCGCCGCCATTGCTGTTACTTTTCTGTCACTAATAACACCGCAACAACCCATACCCATAACCTATTTCTTTTTTATGTATCACTTTCAGTTGTGACGTGGATGTGATCACAGTTTCTTTGGTTCTTTTGATCGTGTTTCCGTGCATTTAAGATTCAGCAATTATAGTATTGTTGAAGTTTATTAGTTTGAAGTGTATAGTGTGCAAACTCACTATTCATATGAAGTCGATTGTATACGATTTTAAACTTCCCGCGGTTTCGGTCACATCCAAAATGGCGACCGGTTAGCTTCAGCTTTTTCGTTCTATCGCCGGTCTATATATATCTGAAGTCTTTGCTCGTGATCAAAAATGACTTTGTCAAAAATGTGAACTTTTTTTGCGTTTAGGTTGGTATAACGGAAGTAATTGTGTGACACATACGTCAATCGTGACATGCCATAAATTTAGGTTATGTTTTGGATACATTTTGCAAATTAAAAATGTCAATAATCTATTAATCTTGACAGCTGACAACCGAAAATTATACAAACATCATGATAACAATTTCAACTAAAAATTCAGGTTTACCAACAGACTCAGTCATTTCTAATCACGCGGTGGTTCTAAAAATTTAAGACCAAGTTTAAATGTAAAGAATGATTTACCTTAAAGTCAATGTAACCATTTTTATCCATGTCGAAAGTCCTAAATACGTGATCACAAAATTCTTCGGCATTTCCAGACGGGAAGAACATCTTATACATGTCTACAAATTTAGCAGGAGTCAGTCGACCATTTGGGCAGTCTTGCTGTAACAATATTAAATGTTAATTTTTTTCAGTTCGATTTTTAACAAAAAAAACCTTTACAGTTAATAGACAAAATCTACAGCTCTTGAACCACTGTAAATAAATCGCAACTGACGTAACAATCTTTGGCTTATAAATACATATAGCGATATTATGAAAATATAGTCTCTATCTTAAAACGTACAAGTGAATAATGCAAACGTACCATGTACCTGTAAGTTACTATTGATTTTAAAATATCAAAATAAGTTCCGTAAAGTATTTCATAATTTTATGACACCTGAGAGTATTGGAATTAGTGGGGCGACCATAATCTTCCTTCCCTGTTAAACTGTTTACGTTTTTTTTTACCTACTGAGCACCTTGAGCTAGATTCCTACACAGTCCAAACAACTACGTTTAATGGATTATGTGGGATAGTTGAGAATTATTATTTGACCATCTATTAAAAAAATCAGGAAAAAAAAGTGTACAGGGTATTATTGAAAGGTACGTACAACAAAATTGACAGTTATTCGCGAAATCGAAGAAGTCTGAAAAACTTGGTTCGTATTATCAAAATTATAAGGGGAAAATTAACCCTTATCCAACCTTTTTAGACGCTACTGAAGGATAAATAAGTAAAACTCATTTATTTTAGTAAATCCTAGCAACTGTAACAATAAAACTTGTAAAGACTAAATGTTGCTATGGAAACGAAAGATGATCTTTTTATCAGAGGCGTACAACGAATTTGGGCATAAATTTTAATCATTTTTATCTCTAAAAGGAGAACACTTTTACCTGAACTTTTTTTACTTTTAGGACCCATACTTCGAGACCAATTACCGATTTTATTTTTACCTACCTTTCAATAACACGCTGTATACATACTTATTATATTCCTACGCTTCAGTAAGTGTAAAATGAAGAAGGAACATTATTTATAAAGACAATACGTACTAATAATAAACAGTTGCAATAAAAGGCATTTTGTACAAGCATATGAATATTATAGTTTCATCATCTCCGATCACATTTTTGTTAAATCTCCACTTGTTACCTTCTCCGTAGATCTTTTGGTATCTTTCTTTCAATTTCACGAGAAGTAAGCTTGGAGAAGCTTCTCTGCAGCGTTTAGAATATCTGCACACACGTTTTCTAGTAGATTTCCTTAAGTTTTGGAATTCATTGTTAAATTTTTGAGAAGGTTCTTGTTATTTGGAACAAATATATGTTTACTTCCACAATAAAATGTAAGGGAGTATTATAACAGGGCCCATCCGATGAATGGCTACTTTAATGATCTCTAGAATACGAAAAAGTAGGTCTCGCGTTTCAGTCTACCTGTGTCGATTTTTAATGGACAGATGATCTCTGAAACTACTGGACCGATTGTTGTCAAATTTTACATGTATGTGTGTGTAAATTGCAGAACACTAACCAAAATTGATCAAAAATTTTTAAAGTAAATCCTATTTATATATATGGAAAACAATACGCTTCTTCCGCAAAGAACTGTACAACGTTGGTCTTTGAATTTTTTTCTATCTGTAACAATTAATGAGCTAACGAGGACTGTGCACTTTGTGAATCACCCTGTATATACAAAAATATTTGTTATTGGTTTCTTCAAATTAATTTTATAAAGTGCACTTCCTTTCCATTCATTTTTCATGTTTTCTAAAAAATTCGTAAGGAGATATTGTTAATTACAAAACATTCAGACCCGGTTAATAGAAAGCGAATTAAGTTAATTCCCGATTAACTTTTAATTGAGGTCCGTTGCTAGGCGTGCATGTTTTAACCAATCAAGGGCTCAATCTACATTTTAATCCTCTATTAAATTAATTCACGATTAAATGTTTAATTCGCTTTCTATAATGGGGTCCTTGGTTGTTTGAATTTAACTCTTAAGCTACAAATACCTTTTCGCGATTTAACATAGTAACGGCCAAAGCAGTTTTTTGCGAAAATATGTTGTCATAATCGGCGGTCATTCCCTCTGCATTATCATACCACTTTTACAACCTAGGGCCAAATTTCACATGTTCTGATTTTTTCAGTTAATTATATTCATAATAATTATTTACACAGAAAAAACTTTCGCCAAAATTTACAGTCATCTAAGAAATATAAAAAAAAATAATTTCAGTTTCAATGTAACAATAAACACATGAAAAAAATTATTGTAGCAACCTGACACCTAACACCTAAACTTTCATTTTTAACAATTATCAACAGAAATTTCTAAACTTATTAACGAAGAGTAGATTCACTGACTTCAGTTTTCAAAAAAGTTGTAACTTACACATTTTTACGCAATATCGGCATTTACATCTTATAAAATACTACGCAAGCTAATTTGTATTGTGTAGTATCATCTAATGAATTTCCTACACATGGAGTAGTTTTGAAAAGTCGCCGGGTACGTCATCGCATCAGTACCAAAGAATTCAAATAAATGAATGTTTACCTACTTACCAGTGTCAAGTTAAATTCATTGTTTTGGGTATGCTCAGATGAATTGTTCCTTTTCAGTTTATAGCTGTCACGCTAACAGTTAGATTAGCTTAATATAGTATTTATCACGAGTAAATATTTTCCGAAAACTAAGTAGAAATGGAATTACCTGCATTCGATGATGGTCAAAGTAGTCAAATTAACTAGTCACAAGAAGTTAAAGTTACATCAACTTTCCACCAACGAACCAAAACAGTGTAGTGTAGAATTGTATTCAGTATTTTATTATCAGATTCACGTCGTCTCCGGATAAATTCTCTTCACCGACAATACATTGAAAACCTTTGATTCTGTTTGCAATTGTTCGAACAACTAGAAATGTATTCATTTATATCTACAACATAAATAGGCATTTGTCTGACTTCCAATCGAAGCAATACAATAATAGCATTGAGCCGAAGGCACAACGTTATAACAAGAAAGCTGTATTTTAGTAATCGTTACTAAAATTCACATTCTGAGAAAAATTATGATTTAAGTAAACAAACAACAAAGATAAAACGGATGTGGCCAAAAATGGTACGCAATGTAATATGCAACTCTGAAAACTTATTATAATGGGCTTTTGTTACTGGCAGCAATAATCGGAATATGAGATTGCTTCCACCTGAATGTATGTTAACGGATCGGTGTTAATTACATATTACACCGAACTGTAATCAGTTCATTGAATAATGAAATATTTTTTTCGTAAACATCTACTATGGTAACTGGAAAAAGACAATAAACTCATCCGTGTTCTTGTTGTAGATACAACAATCAGATTATTAATATTTAAAATCACGTAACCAACATCGATGCGTGAAAACGCATCCATGTGAAAGCAATCTCAATAGTCTAGTTGCTTTCATGTAAGTGCCATCTAAAAACAAAGCAGGTACAAATTTCCTCATTTTATGTTTTTATCTAGATAAAAACTCAACACAAAATCATACACTACAGATGACGTTATCCCATTACTAGTGGAGAGGATTAGACAACTTTTGATCAGTATTTTACCATCTACACGATATTTCTAACATACATATAAAATTTGACAACAATCGGTCGAATAGATTCGGAAATTAACCGTTTAATAAAAATTGACACAGATAGATAAGCAACCAGAACGCGAGACCTGCTTTTTTGACAATCTAGGCGTGATGAATCGTGGAGAAAAGAAAGTATCCATTCGTCGGATTCGCTTACGCTCGAGTATAAAGATGTTGAGAAAAAGAAAATTATTCAAACTAAGGCTTGAAATGAAAAGTTCAAGAGTGCGGATCAATAAACAATTCCAACATTTTTTTTAATATCCTGTGGTGGAGCATTTACTGCGTCTCTCAGTATATCATTCCACATAAATATTAATAACCCGACTGGACCAACAATGGGTAGTATACTAAATTGGTTATTTCAAGAACTTTGGCGAGTTGACCACGAAGCTTCGGAGTTTTATTTATTTCAAAAAAATTAATACTGGCCATATCTCTAATAAAAGCACGAAAAGTTAGAATAAGGTCGCCTCGTTGGCGTCTACTGTGTAGTGTCGGCAACTCGTAAATGCTATGCGTTCTTCATAGCTGATTTTCCTAATTAAAGGAGAGAGTCCAGTGACTCGCCTTTGTACCCGTTATAGAATATTTATGTCTTTAACAAAATAGGGAGGCCAAATCGGTGTGGCATATTAAAGAATTGATCTGTTAAGTACAATATAACTTGCTCTCAGTGCTGGGGTTTGGATTCCGGAAGAAGTGTTTAATAAAGTGGATTGTGCAGTTTAATGAAATTTGTGCGGAAACCTAGAAAGCTTGACCAAAAATTTCAGTGCTAGGAAGAACCGTAATTTATTTGATTTAATTTAATTAATCAACTACAGAAATAAGTAGCAGGTATATAATTAAAAATCTGAGCAAAAGTAGTCACATCGACTAGTTTGAATTTTCTCATGAGGTGTTACTTGACTACTTCCGGTAACTTTAAATTTTTGATAAAGGGGCTACTGGGCTTCCCATTTTGTCAACGCGGAGGGTACGTGTCAAATTTTTGATCAAAATGCGTATTGTAGGAATTTATCAATGGAAATTAAAATTTATACTTATTGTATTGACCACTACACAAGATAATTTTAATTAGACAAAACAGAGTAGGATCAAGCAGCATAACAAGGCAAGTGCACCGGAAATAATGAGCTTATGTATCATGAATCGCTGTGAACTATAAAGAACATCATAATTTTCTAACGATTCTATTCAATTTCTGGTGAACGTCTATGATTTCTACTGCACATCCAATATTATTAACTTGGTTATTTTTTACAGGACAATTATTTTATATACAGAACAAAACGAATAATATACATGGCTTCCATGATGAAAATATATCAATAATAGTTATTTATTTTTTTATTGTTCTACAAGCAGGTAAAAAGAAAATTTACCCACGAATGAAGTTTGCCTAACGAGCGAGCGTAGCGAGTGAGTTGGGTAAATTTCATGAGCGGGTAAATTTTTGTTTAC